GTTTAAAAACATTAAACATAAAATTGTAAACAATGATAAGTACAAGAAGAAAGCAGGGAAGCTGGAGAGGAGGACTGTTCATTGGAACAGTCCAGGGAAATTTCATTGCAAAGCCGAGATTTGAGTTCAACATTGTTTACTGGGAAAGATGGAATATAGAGCTGATGTAGGGTGACAGCACTCATGCTTTTATATTTGCTTGCTCTAAAAGAGCATCCTTCAACAGTGAAGAGCAAAATCAATTTTCTGCCTTACATTAAAAACCCTTCTTTTTCTAGCAATATTTCCTTTTTTGTCTTTCCCTTCTCTATTCCTTCTTTCCCTCTTCCTTCTTCTCTGGTCTCCTCTCCTCCTCTCCCCTGTCCTCCCCTTCTTTTCCCTTCCCTCCTCTTCCTGTCCCTTTCTTTTTCCTTCCCCTTCTCCTTTCACTTCCACTTCTGCGTCCCCTATTCCCTTTCTTTTTTCTTTTTTCAGTGCTGAGTACTGAACTGAGGGCTTTGTGCATGCTAAGCAAATAGTCTATCTCAGAGTGGAACTCCCAGACCTCTCCTTTTTCTAAATGTAAAATTTTAAGGCTATTTTTGACTGTTAAGGGATTGATACTGAAAAGAAAATCATTACCAAATATAGTAAGAGTTAAAAGTTCTTATGTATCTCCCTAGAAATATATTTATTTCTGTGAAATTTTTGCCTGTGCATAAATTTTGTTAGAACCTCTACGATCTAGGGTTTTTATTTTATCGTGAGAAACAAAATCATTTGCCGACATAAGCATTTTAAGGTGACAGAGATCAAAGTTTGTTCCATTAGATATAAGTAATGGCCAAACATTCTTCAATGAGAGCTCAGATGTGTTGGCAACACATTTTACTGTGGGGTCTGTAATGTAAAATTTAAGCGCAAAAAAAAAAGCCAAAAATTATAGGTTACTTTATTTTTCATTAAACAGGCAATTGAAATACATGGTACAAAAATAAGTGGTAAGATTACTGTAAAATGAAATGGACAGAATAAATATTCAATTTAATTTTCCACCTATGAGAATTTCACAATAAAATCATAGTTTACTTTGTAAAAAAAAAAAAATAAAAAAAAAATAAAAGTTCTTATGTATCTCCCTATGGATAATAATAAAGAACATTAGTCTTTACCTCAAATGAAAGCAAATATAAGTAAGATTTAAAATGGTATTCCCTTTTTCTTGACCCATTGGAAAGAGAACAATGATATAATTATTTAGATTTTATAACGTATGTGTGCAGTAATTTTTAACTCATCTCTTTTGGCCAAAGGAAATATGTTTTTCATTGCAATTAGTTTTACTAAATTGTATGTTACTTTAAGATGAGGTTGTATGATCATTATGCAGGTATAGAAAAACATAGAATAGTTACTCGTATTTCTTGGATTATATTTAGCAAACACAGTTTAATATGACTGTTCTCTGAATATTCTAAGAGTTCTGTTTTTTTCTGTATGTCTTGATTTTTTTTTTTTTGGTGGGGTTTGAACTCAGAGCTTTGAACTTGCAAAGCGGCTCTACTGCTTGAACTACACCTCCAGTCCAAGCTTTACCACTTGAGTTATGCCTCCATCCCTTTTTTACTTCAGGTTATTTTTCACATAGGGTCTTGCACTTTTTGCCTGGGGTTAGCCTCAGACAACAATCCTCCTACCTATGCCTTCTGAGTTGCTGGGACCATAGGTGCATACCACCATGCCCATATTATTTGTTGAGATGTGGTCTCGCCAACTTTTTGCCAGGAATTGCAATCCTCCTGAACTCCACCTCCTGAGTAGCTGGGGTTACAGGCTTGAGCCCCCACACCCAGCCTATGACTAGATCATTTTAAAATTGCAATCTGCCAGTACTTTTTCACATAAGTGCATACCATTATTATTTTATTATATTTGGTAAATCTTTTATATAATCAACTGTTGTTTATCATAATGAAAGCAACCATAAAAACAGTAGAAAATTTCTATTTTTTATTCTATTAAGTATAATATTTGTTATTTAATAACAAGATTATTTTGATTGCAAGTGACAAAACTCATTGGACAAAGCAAAGAAGGGACTTATAATTGAAAATTATGAGGGTATAGCTTTGGGTATAGTGGCATAAAAAGTACAATCAGAATCTGATTTCTCTGCATCTCTTGGTCTTGTTTTCCTTTATGTTGGCTTTATTCTCAGGCTCCACTTAATTACATGATGGCTGCTAGGGCTTATAAAATTTGTCTTGTTCAGATCCAATGGAAGAGAGAATATCCTTTCCCCTGCGCCCTCCAACCAAACTGAAGGCTCTGTTAGGAGATCAGTTGCTTTCCTGAGTCTCTGAGGCCAGCAAGGCTGAAGCCTTAGTTGGCCAGATCAGAATCCTGTGCCTGTTCCTGGAACTGGGAGGCCATATCAACAGAGATGGTGGAGAAAGGAATGAATCTGAGGAAAACTGGTTACTGTCAGGAGTGGATGTTTGATATAAAACTGAGCAGCAATGATGACAACAATAGTCACTATACTTATTTTTCTCCATGTAAGACAATATTAAATTTATGTTGGATTTCAGTGCTTGAGGGCCATCAGAGGGTGTATTTTGAGGTTGGATGATATAGAGCTGGAATTTAAAACAATAAATAATTCCAACCTATAAAATGCATAACCTTAATAAAATTATAAGTGATAGTATTGGATGTTTGGCAGTTTACTTTCCAGTCAGCAATGATATTTAAGATATTTAAAGGTGTTACTAAATCTGTTTTTTATTAAAAAATTAAAAATTTATTTTGTGGTGCTAGGGATCAAACCCAGTGTCTTGTGCCTGCTAGACAAGTGCTCTACTACTGAGGTACTCACCAAGGCTTTAAATTTCTTAAGAAATACAGTGACTATCTCTTCTCTAGAGATGCATAGCAAAGTACCACACACTGGATGAATAAAACAACAGATATTTATTTTCTCACAGTTCTGGAAGCTAGAGGTTTGCCGTCATGGTATTAGCAGGATTATGCTCCCTCTGAAGTTCTGGAGAAGAACCTCTCTTGCCTGTTTGTTGCTTCTGATAGTTGTCAGCAGTCCTTGGATTGTAGCTGCACCACTCTAATCTTCATTTCCATTTTTCTTAGACTTCTATGTTCTATGTATCTATGTCCAAATTTTCTTCTTATAAAAAGATTAAGTAACCACTTCTTCCTTAATTGTTATTACTTGAATTCTGTTAAAATGTGAATGTTGGTGTGACAGTTTGCTGGAGAATTAATATTTCTTACATTTTAGCATGGAGAGATATATTACACGTGACTTTATGTAATTTAAACAAAAAATTTTGTCTTAAAAAATGGGATCTGTCAAGAGCTTTCTCAGGAGCTCCTGTTTTCTGACCTAACTGGGGGCAGCTGGAGATGGAGAAAGGACAAAGGATAGAAGACAGACATGTAGAAAGTTGGGGTCAGGTGTGCTGGGCGCTGTGATGGAGATGCACAACAGCCTTGTTGCTTCTTTTCTCTAATAACTTCTTTTACTTTGCTTCTTTTCTCTTGTTCTTTAAAACCTTACTTTTAAAGTCTTCTTTTCTGTTCTTTAAAGTCTCTTTCCTTAGTCTCGATCTGTCCCATATTTTCCTCAATCTCTCTTAAAGTCTTGGCCCTCAGTCTTGCACTGTCCCATGTTCCTTTTTAATCTCTCTTAAAGTCCTGGTCCTTAGACTTGCACTGTCCCGTGTTCTTTTTAGCTTTTCTTTAGCATAGCTTTTCTAAAGCCTATGTGTGAAGTTCTTAGTGCAGAAAGCTGCTCTGGTGGAGACACACAACAGTCAGAGGCAGCCTCGTTAAGCAGCCTGCAGCCAGCCAAACAAAACTTTCCCGTCAACAAAACCTTTTCCTCCCTGAAATTTCCTCCTCCTTCAGGGAGTCTTTTATATCCAGTGGTAAACAAGGAGTTGGAGTAACAGTTCTCAGGGAGGGGCATGACATTATAACAAGAGAAACCTGAGTTTCTACTTCTTTCTCTGAATGTAAACAACTTAGGAAAAGCATTTTGTCTTTGTTCCTTCTGCAGCTGGGGCCATGCCAAACTCAGCCTGTAAATCATTGAGCATAACTGTGCTTATGTTAACTGCTCATAGGCTTCTCATAATCCACTGCCCACAGGGATTCTCCTGGACTTCCACCCCCTGAGTATGATGGTCTATAATTGGATGAATATCATCCATTAGTTTATTTAATAGCAAGTGCAAAAAAGCAGGAGAGAAATAGAAATAGTGAGGGACTTGGAAACCATATTTTGCAAGACATATATGAAAACAGTGTAATTGTCTTTAACTCTTAAAAGAAAAAAAATCTGTGGAGAAGGAATTGGACTCCAGAGGGCAGAACTAGAACCAGAAAGTTAAAGGGAGACATTCAATGCAGTCTAAGACAAAACTTTCCCAATGTATAGTGCATCAAAACGGAGACAGCTATCATAGAAAGTAGTAAAAAGTCCAGGTTCATCAAGGTGCTCAGGCAGATGCTACATAATTACCCCCCTGAGACATTTAATAGAGATCTGTCCTAAAAAAGAAATGGAAACAAAAGATCCCTTCCAGCCTCCAGATCTGTTAGAAATTCTCCTAAAACCTGTCTCTTTATATAAACCATGAATATCTATATTAATTACTTGACAAGGTATTTCTGTAAGTTTAAATGCTTTTTAATGGTTACCATCCTGAAGTTTTGCTGTCTGACCTTGGTGTTATGGACTAGTAGGAAAGAAAAGGTAGTGAGTATTTAATTTAGGAGAAGGAGAGACAATGAATGAGAAAGGTAGAAGAATAGGGCTTGCATTTATTGGTTGCCTACAGGGTACCTTGGACTAGTCTTTTTACCTGTATTATCTCATCTCATGTAATACACTTGATTTCTCTTTGCTTATCCTGGAATGTAAGAAAAGTGGCAGTTCTTAGCATGAATTCTGAAACTAATTGCCATTTTCTTATGTATTCTTTGTTGATGGAACACAGGACTATTCTGATGGCTACATGTGCAAAACACATTTTCAAGTACGAAATGGGACTGTGGTGTCACATCCAGGAAAATCTGCCAGTGTACAGACATGTCTTCCCATGGAGGTAAGTAGTTTAATGTATCACATTCTCTCCTTTTCAATCTTTGTAAAGAATAATTTTAAAAACTTTAAATTTTGTATTTGTATATGTCTTAAAAATTAACTGTTATTGGATCCTGGGCCAATCCATACATCATTTCTAAGTAATTATTTTATTTTATAATAATGAAAGCAGAAATCGTAGCATGTACTCCAAATCTATTTGATTGGAATTAGCCCTCACACTTTTTGTTTCTCTTGCACCTGAAGTCCACAGATACCCTCTCTTGCCTATTGATTTTTCTCTAGTGAAATCCCCTCAGAATTATACAGACTTATCCCTAGGCTGCTTAATACTTGATTGGAGAACTCTGCCTAGTCTGCCTTAAACTATTCTCCCTAGCCACTTAAAAATATGTGGAATCTGGGCCATTCCGTAGAATATTTCAACCTTGATTAGAGAAGCTTACTAAATTAAATTTTATTAAGATGCTTAAAGCTTAGTGGTTTTCTGGGATATTTTCAATTTTTTATCAAAATGCAAATAGCTTTATTATATTTCTTGTCATTAAAAAAAATTATAAACGTTCATTAAAAATAAACAATAATGAAATATGTGAAAGGTTAAAAACCTCTCATAGACCTTTTGATAGATAACCACTGTTAATACTTTAGTAAATATCATTCCACCCATTTCTGTGATACATATTGCTTTTGGCAATGAACAACTGTATCTTGTACATCCGTATTAGTAAATGCAGAATTCCATAGTTCTCTTTCATGGCTCCATGGCATTCCATTCTCTGGATTCACCATAGTTACGTGGAGCTCATACTAAAGTAAAATGCTTGAATTTTGAAAGCAGATTGGTGGGAACATAACTGTTTCGGCAGAAAGAAAGAAATCACTAATGCTTAAATTCTGAGCATCCTAGTAAAATGAAAAAGGAGACTTTTTTTGTGCATAGGAAGAGGTCTTTCTTAGAATCTGTTAAATCAGGCCAATTTGGTAGATAGGCATTAGCCCCTTGACTTGTCTATAATGATAGTCTGGACGTGCCTTACTCCAAAATAATTTGTTCTTGTTTTTTTTTCTTTTTTTTCACCAATATAATTTGATTTGCCAGTTGTTCTTGAAGATATTGTGCTCGGCAGTAAGCTAAGTGCCCAGGACAGGTGCTTGAATTTTGAATATGCTTCATTGGCTCAAATAGCCACCATTCAGTCTGAAGCTAAGTATGTTAGAAAACTTTTCAGTTCATTATATATTAACTTAAAAATGTTAAAAAACATTGAAATGATGATTTAAGAGATGAATTTCCAGTTTTTGTCTAACAAGTTGACAGAGATTTAAAAAGTACTAAAAAGTGGTGTTGACAGTGTGAGGGAATTGACACTTTCTAGTTGATGTTTTAACATTACAAAGTTTAAAGTTGTGCACATGCTATGTGTGATCTATTCCAATCTAGGAATTTAGCCTCATAAAATATAATTTTTTCCAACATTTTCCAGTGAATTTCAACATAAGGAAAAATTGAATTTTCTGGGGAACATCTTTATTCTCCTCACTTAAATTCTATTGTTAACATTTTGCTGTGTTTGCTTTATTATATACCTATCTGCCTATCAATCAAACATATTTTTTGATGCAATACTTTTACATTGAAATAAATTACACACCAATACTCATAAAATAATCCTAAATGTACATGACAATTTGCCTGCAACTATATTCATTGTACCACTATTTTTGGTAGGAAAAAAATAGAAGCAACTAAAATTTACAGCAGTAAAAGGTTGATTAACCAGGGCACATCTCTGTGATGGATGCAGTTGTTAAAAAGACCTTTCTAGGTGACTCTTTAACATTACAAGCCTTAAATATTCATGTTAAGTGAAAAAAAGGTAGACTTTTTTTGTGGTATAAACAATGGAATTTAAGTATGGTTAACATCAAGCTATTGACTATTATGATTTTAAATAATTACTCTTTTTTCTTCTTTAATTTATTTATTCATGGAGTGATACCCATAGTTTTTTTTTTTTCTCTTACGCTTTTGAAGTCTTTGGGTTTATTTTTATTTGTTCCAGTATTTTGATTTGGAGTCATCATTCATCCATGCAAGCTTCTTCACTGCTACAGTTCTTGTGGGCATCTTACTCTTTCAATTTCTACATAACAGAGGAAGATTTTGAAGTTCAGAGTAAGATAGTACAGTACCCCATCTTGGTGTATCTACTGCTTTCCTTCCTAGTCCCCAGCAGAAATAGTAATGGAAAGCTTATATGTACATATACAAAATACACACATTCATGTATAGACGTAGAAATAAGTTTTGCCCTTCCATTCTTAGCTGCACATCTTTTTGAAAAGTATTTTTATTTCTGCTCTTTCTCCTCAAGGATTTCCCATAAAAGTATATGTACTTTATTTCTCCTTCTTAGACTTGTACTTATTGTTTTTGAAGTCAGACTGCTTCCTTAGACTGTAAACCCCATTTATAATTTGACTAAGCCTTCCGATTTGGTTCCTCCCAGAATTAAGTCACCTGAAGGAGCTATACATTAGCATGCTGATTTAAGCTGAGTTATTAATTGAGTTACTTAGAACTGATTGAATTCTCAATGAGTTTCATTTCTTTTTTCCTCCCAAAAATCAACTTATATAAGATAATTAAGAATGTTTAAAAAGAGAAAGTTGTAGTGAGTCTTTAGTGGTTTATGTTTGTAGGAGTTGGAATGGTTCCATTTAACTTCACCTTCCAGTCAACTCCAGTGTTCTAGTTTTGTTTGGTAATCCCTAGTAAATTTAGATCACCTAACTTGTATTATAACAGTAGCACAACTAGAAGAAAGAGAACTAGACTTGGAGTTGGAAGTTGTGTTTTATAGTTCCTTTAGCCATGTACTAGCTGTGGAACCTTGAGTAAACCTTAGTTTTCTCTCTCCAAGTGTTCACTATTTTTTGGTTGGGGGGGTGGCTGTAAAGAGCATAAGGTGCTTTACTAATACTAATAAAAGATCTCATTGCCATAAAGTAAAGAGCAGAAAGTGAATGGAGAAACAAGAGGCAGTTTCTGTAACCCGTCCTTTCTTATTGTGTGCTTCTCTTGCATTTCAGAGGATGGGAATAATCTTCAAGTTGAAAGTTCCTTCAACCACAATTGGCTACCAGTGCCTCAGAGAGTGGTTCAGAGACAGCTGAGAGTGATTCTCACTCAAAAGTAGTGGTAGACTAATTAGGACATCTGAAGAATTTCATTTGAACTGCTTACACGATGTCTCACTTTCCTATATCATTACTGGGCAGAGTTATGTTTTTAAGTCCTTTCTTCAGCATAGATTTTTAAAGAATTTTTATTTCTTCAATGGTATGATTATAAGTATGATTATGTGAAATTTCCTAGTTTTTCATATTTGAGTATCTCAGAATTAATTTTTTATCTTAATAGACATCAGGAGAAAATATTATGACAATTTAGATACATATTTAAGTTTAGGTGGAATGTAATTAGATGAGGAATCTACTGTTTGTCTAAAATGCAATGGATTGTTGTATTTTTAAAATTCAATATTTAAGCAAATTTCATGAAGAAGATTGATTATGCCTATAATAGAAGAACTCGAGGGATGTATAATTCTAATTTGTGAAAGTTATTATATCATTCATAGGATACAATCTTTCAGTCATAAAAATTGCTGGTAGCTTTGTGATAATTAATAAGCTTCACGACCTTATAAATAGTTACATAAAATAATGTCTCTGACCACCTAAAAATATTCTTCTGAAAGGGCTAATTTGACTTTTCTAAGTTGATGGTATTGCATCGGTAGGTAGTTGAACAACCATACCAAAGGAATGTAGATATGTGAGTGAGTGGATTTCACACTCTAGGGAAGAGTTTCTATAGCATTAGAGAACACTTCTATTTACTTAACCCCAATCAATATATTTATCAATAAGTTTAACAGATTCTCTTTTAACAAACATTTGTGTCAGTATTAATGTCTTTGTGTACTAAGATTTTAATCCTTACAGAGTAATACTTACAATGACCATTTATTGATTCTCTATTATGTGCTTATTTTCTATATTAGTTCTATGTTGTCTTATTTAATCCTCACAAAACTCTATGCAATAGATATTAATAGACTAATTTATGGATAATATTATTGAAGTGGATATTATTTTATAGTTTTTACATTTCCTTACATGTGTATACATTATTTGGGCCACCTCCCCGTGCTTCCAGGCAGAACCTGCTCTGCCCTCTTGTTCTCTGACTTTGTTGAAGAGAAAACAGATTAGAAAAACAGCGTTTTTGCTAGTTTGAGATAAAGATAGCTATAAGAGAGATTCCTAGTGTTGTTACATGCATATGTGTATTACAGTTTATATTGGTTAACCTCTACCAGTTCACTTCATTACTTCCTAGTCCCCTTCCCAAAGTGACCTCTGCCAGTTTAAGATTACTATATTCGCATCTATACAGTGTGCATATCAACCACATTCAAGTTTTAGGTTTCCTTCCCTTTCCCTATTCCTCCTGTGTGTGTTCTCCCCTTAGTGTGTGACCCATGTCCAATAATATTTCCTATAATCCCTATATGAGGGAGAACGTGATTTTTGGCCTTCTGAGCCTGACTAACTTCGCTTAAGAGATGTTCTACAGTTCCATCCATTTACTTGCAAATGACAAAATTTCATTCTTCTTTGTGGCTGAATAAAATTCCATTGTATATAAATATCACATTTTCTTAATCCATTTGTTGGTATGGGGGCATCTTGGCTGTTTCCACTGCTTGGCTATTTGTGAAATAGTGCCTGCACTAAACACGGGTGTGCACGGTGCCTTTGTATTTAACCTGAGTCACATTTCCTTCAGGTATTCCCTAGGATGGTATTTGCTGGACATTGCAGATCTAATGTTTAGGGTTTTTAAGGAATTCTCCATTATTGTTTTTCCATATGGTTATACTAGCTTACATTCCCACCGCAGATGTATTCTGGGTTCTTTTTTCCCCA